TTCGTGATTTCTTCAATCTGAATATTATTTTGGTCCTTCTTGTTTTATTTTTTAAACTATAATCCATTTTTTTTATAATATTGACATTGGAGTATTTTTAATAATTTTGTAACAGAATAAAAAAATTAAGGAAATATATACACACACATAAATTTGTAAAAAAATATTAACAATAGTAGACATTGGTTTTGGGAGCTAGGTAAATTATATATGCAAATGATGGAACAAAATTTGCCGTGTAATACATCAACAGATTAGGTGTTACGGTCAAACAATTAAGACAATTATAGTACATATCATGTACCTTGAAATTAATGAGAAAAATGTGATTCAAAGTATTAGCATCAAAATAATAAATTATTTATTTATTTATTTATTTTATTTTGTTAAACAGACTTGTTGAATCAAACCAAACATTAAAAAATTATTCATTTAGAATTCACATGTAGATTTTAATAATATGCTTGTTTAAATATATTTCGAAAAGATCATTGTAATGTAGCGTCTCTGCTAGGAGAGTATATCAAAAACAATAAAAAAAATTTGTATTGTTAATTATTTAAAATAAATAATCTCAGATATTTTCGTTGTTTTTTGTTTTTATTATCATCTTTATATTTTATTTTAGTTATTAATTTTATGATCTTTTCAATATATTTTTGATGACTATAAGATAAAATAAAAATTATTTAAAATAAATTATTGATTTAACCCGAAAATTATCATTTAAAACTTCTAATCACATAAATAATTAACTTGTGGACATGAATATTCTCGCGGGAAAAAACGTGTATCGGACCATCATCTCTGTCTAGCTTTTTTATGAAATGATGTGTCCATGCCGGCTCGTCTTCTTCACTCGGAGTTTTCCTGGATATCAACATCACATAAAAAAATCATGTTTTCATGACTGTACTATTTACTTATTAGAAAATATTTTAAAAAAATAATATATTTTAAAATATTAAATTTAAAAAAAAATTATTTTTTGATATTTAACAATATAAAAAATAAGTTAAAAAATACTTTTTAGTATTTAGTTATATTATAGAAAGTAAGTTAACTTATTAATATTTTATTTTTTTCAAGTTTATTAAAATAATAAAGAATAAATTTTATAAATTAAAAAAATAAATGATAATAAAATTGAAAAAAATAATTTCATAAATTATCTTAAATAATCAAAATAAAAGAGATCAAATATAAAAAAATAAAAGATGAAGAAATTAAGATAATAATATTAAAATTTTATAAATTATTTCAAATAAAATAAGTATTAATTAAAAAAATAATGATCAAATTTGATAAATAAAAAATTTAATAAAAAAATAATAAATAAAAAGCAAACAACAATTATAAAAATTAAAATTAATATAAAAATTAAAATTTAAGAAATAAAATTAAATAATAAATATTCAAATATATATATATATATTAGTAAAAAATTTGATGATCAAATTTGATATAATCATTAAATAATATTATATTTTTAAATTTTTTATAACTTTAGAAAAGTGTTTTCGATCTAAATTTTTTAGGAAAATATTTTTATAAAAATTAAATGTTTTCCGTCCAAATTTTATAGAAAAATACTTTTTGAAAATCAAATTAAATTTTTTAATAAATTTTTTTAATAATAAACAAATAAAAAAAATTAAAAATCATTTTTCGTATAACATTTTTCACAAAACAAACATGCCAAATATCAGTCATTTTTATTGCATGTACCAGGACGAGATTCTTGCTTGAGTATGAAACACGTTTAAAGGTCGTGGTCACCTCAAGAAGAGTTTTAAGAATACATGTCTGCCTCGGTTCAAAAACCGACATGGAAAAGGACGTGATTTACTATTGGATGAATTCGTTTTTATTAAAATAGCATTGTTTTGTCATTTTATTTTTAATTTCTTGGCGTTCATACTGTTGATTTTGGATCTGTCGGCGGATTATTAAAAAAAACAATTGGGGCAGACAACTTTTACAACGTCAAATTGTTTTAACTGCCTTAGTCAGGTTTTAAGTTGTAGATTTCTTTTTTTTGGATTAATGTGGGTGTCCGGGCCAGCTTGCATGCATCATGATTAATCTTACGGGCCCTGAAGTTAACGATTATGTAAGCCTCCAGTGGTCATCATATGAGCAACCAAGGATTCGAACCTGAGACCACAGAGGGAGCAAATCCCTTGATTCCAAGTCCTTACTTGACCACCACCTAGATAGTTAAATTGTAGATTTCTTGAATTAACCAGACGAGACCATTTTTACCAACTGTAGTTTTAAGCTATACCCAATGAATAATGTACTACCAGCGTCAAGCTCGTACACACTGTCCTGGCTTTTAAAAAAAAATTATATTTTTAAAAAAAATTATATTTTTAAAAAAAATTAAAAAAATTTATTATTTTATTTTAAATTAATATATTTTAAAAAAATAATACCAACTATACTTCCAAAGAAATTCTAAACTATCCTACATGCCTTTTTTTAAAAAAAAAAAGTGTATGCACTAATGAGTACATCACAACAAATTTTAATTATTAATTAGATTTTAACATGTTTTTATTAAAAAAAAAACTTAAATCATTCAATTTACAATAACAATCGTCATAAATTATCTTAAATAATCAAAATAAATGAGATCAAATATAAAAAGATAAAAGATAAAAAAATTAAAATAATAATATTAACATTTCATAAATTATTTCAAATAAAATAAGTATTAATTAAAAAAATAATGATCAAATTTGATAAATAAAAAAATTCAATACAAAAAACAAATTACAATTATAAAAATAAAAACTAAAGTTAATATAAAAATAAAAATTTTAAAAAATAAAATTGAATAATAAATATTTATATATATATATATATTTATATAAATATATATATATTAGTTAAAAGTTTAATAATCAAATTTGATATAATTATCAAATAATATTATATTTTTAAATTTTTTTTAATCTTAAAAAATGTTTTCCGTCCAAATTTTATAGAAAAATACTTTTTGAAAATCAAATTAAATTTTTTAATAAATTTTTTTAATAATAAACAAATAAAAAAAATTAAAAATCATTTTTCGTATAACATTTTTCACAAAACAAACATGCCAAATATCAGTCATTTTTATTGCATGTACCAGGACGAGATTCTTGCTTGAGTATGAAACACGTTTAAAGGTCGTGGTCACCTCAAGAAGAGTTTTAAGAATACATGTCTGCCTCGGTTCAAAAACCGACATGGAAAAGGACGTGATTTACTATTGGATGAATTCGTTTTTATTAAAATAGCATTGTTTTGTCATTTTATTTTTAATTTCTTGGCGTTCATACTGTTGATTTTGGATCTGTCGGCGGATTATTAAAAAAACAATTGAGGCAGACAAGTTTTACAACGTCAAATTGTTTTAACTACAAATGTAGCCTTAGTCAGGTTTTAAGTTGCAGATTTCTTGAATTAACCAGACAAGACCATTTTTGCCATCAGTAGTTTTAAGCTATACCCAATGAATAATGTACTACCAACGTCAAGCCCGTACACGCTGTCCTGGCTTTTAAAAAAAAAATTATGTTTTTTTTTTAATTATTATGTTATTTTAAATTAATATATTTAAAAAAAAAAAAAACACCAACTATACTTCTAAAGAAATTCTAAACTACCCTTCGTGCTTTTTTTTTAAAAAAAAAAAAAGTGTATGCACTTATGCATACATCACAACAAATTTTAATTATTAATTAAATTTTAATATGTTTTTATTTAAAAACTATATTTAAAAAAAACTTAAATCATTCAATTTCCAATAACAATCACATGACACGCTTTAATCGATATAAAATCTAAATTCAAGTCAAATTAAAATAAACTACTATAAAAATAAAGTTTAAAAACTAAAATATAAAATTAATAAATTATCGAGACCAAAGAGTATATTTACGCATCTCATGAAGAATAAAATCCCATTGTTGATAAACAATGCAGCCCACAATTCTTGTCTCGTACATGAACAATATCCCAAATAGTAAAAGGTGATTTTTATTATCAAGTATGCTTATTATACCTAACATGAGAGTTTATCTTGTACGGGTTGATTTAGTTTAACTTGAAAAAATAAATAAATAATAAATTATATTTAAGGTTTTATAATATTCCATAAGAAAATTTTTTGCAACAATAAATATAAAAAATATTAGACATGAAATGTTTTATATTTATATCTTACATCAAAAAATTAAGAAACAATAGGTTATAATGAAAAATGTGAGACATGAAGTAAATAGTATAGTTATCTCATATTAAAAGATTAAAAAATAGTTTATATAAATATAGTCTATCAAAAAAATATGAAACATGAAATATAATATAACTATTCCACTTTCAAAAGTTAAAAAATAATTCATATGCTATAAAAAAACATAAGACATAAATTATAGTATAGTTATTCTATATCAAAAAATTAAAAATTAATTTATGTGAATATAGACTATAAAAAATATAGAATTATGTATTTATAAATTAATTTTAGAATTTATTTAAAAAATAAAAATGTTTTAAAACAAAGTTTAGACTCCCCCGCTTTATTAAAATAAAAAATAAAAATCAAATTTGACTCGGATTGCGCTGAATCACTCAAGTTTCAAGTTTCCCTTTAGACTCCCCCGCTTTATTAAAATAAAATTAAAAAAATATCAAATTTGACTCGGATAACGCTGAATCACTCAAGTTTCAAGTTTCCGGAAAAACCTCTCGAGTTTAACATGGTCAATTACAGTTTTAGATTTGAGGTGTCCAGTCCAGTCTCCACATGCCGGGCCCAGCTGATTTTCATAACTATGTTTATAAATGTTTTTTTATTTTTAATTATTTTTAATAACAAATGCGGAGAGGCTGTATTTATGAGGTGTCCCGAAACGTAGGAAAACGTTTAAAAAGTTGTGACACGTCACACTTTTGCTCTCTTTATAAGCACACCACGAGTTCAGGAAAATCAACCCTCAGTGTTCCCCAGATAATTTCTTATAGCTTTACGTACAGCAATAACATGGATAAGACTTGCGGTATCCACACAACTTTCTTGAATCGCCAATTACACGGTGGTTTATGTCCTGCCACCAAGCACATAAGCCTTATAACAACTGATAAGAGAAGAACTGGAAGTGGCCAAACAGTACTCTGTTCACTTGTTACTCCTAAAACTATGAATACGAGGACGTTGATTGAACGACAGGTTCCACGGGAGGTGTCAATGCCAGCAAAATTTGGCATGTTTGGAGGGAATTTTGTGCCTGAGACCCTAATCACTAGTTTGAAGAAGCTGGAAGCTGAATTCGTTTATGCCTTACAGGATACTGAATTTCAGGTTTGTTGCCACCTTATTTTATTTTTATTGTTATGTATTTCTTTGCAATGCTAGACAAGATTTTCACCAACCTCCTGTAATTTAAGGTTAGCGCTTACAACGTGGACTTGCATGAAAATGTAGGAGGAGCTTGCGACGGCCCTGAGAGACTACGTAGGAAGGGAAACACCTCTGTATTTTGCTCAAGGATTGACAAATTACTACAAGAATAAAGATTGAGAAGGGGCGGAAATTTACCTTAAGAGGGAGGATCTCAATCATTGTGGAGCCCACAAGATGAACAACGCTGTTGCGCAGACGATGATTGCCAAACGCATGGGCCTGAAGAGTGTTGTGGCAGCCACTGGTGCTGGACAACATGGTGTTGCAACAGCAGCTGCCTGTGCCAAGCTGTCTTTGTCTTGCACTGTCTTCATGGGCTCTGATGATATGGAAAAACAATCCTCAAACGTACTGTTAATGAAACTATCTGGTGCTCAGGTGAGATGCCCTCTAGCTTCTTTTTTCCAAAGCTTGATCTATCTAGCAAAAACTTAATGAATCGGGGTTTTCCTTCTGTGTTTTATTCTATTTGCATAGGTTAAACCTGTGGAAAGAAGTTTTAAAGAAGCAAGCTCAGAGGCAATCAGGGAATGGGTAGGTAACTTAGAGACAAGCTACTACCTGACAGGCTCGGCCGTGGGACCTCATCCATGTCCAAGCATGGTCTGTGAATTTCAGTCTGTGATTGGAAAGGAGACAAGGAGGCAAGCAATGGGGAAATGGGGTGGCAAGCCAGATGTGTTGATTGCCTGTATCGGGAGTGGGTCTAATGCAATGGGGTTGTTCCATGAATTCATAGAAGATGAAGATGTGAGGTTGATAGGAGTTGAGGCTGCAGGGTTTGGCTTGGATAGTGGGAAACATGCTGCAACTCTGAGTAAAGGAGAAGTTGGGGTCTATCATGGAGCCATGAGCTATTTGTTGGAAGATGAAGAAGGACAAATAATTCGACCACACTCGATCGCTGTGGGGTAAATCCATAGAACTCCTTTACCATCTATTAATAATAAATAGCTCCTGGTTGTAAACTCCTTTCCCAGAAATTTACTGTCATCATGTTTTGCTGTCTTCTGCAGGCTGGAATATCCAGGGGTTAGTCCGCAGCTGAGCTTTCTTAAGGACACAGAACGTGCTGAGTTTTATTCTGCCACGGATAAAGAGGCTGTAGATGGTATGTCCAGGAATGATAATATTAATTATAACTATGTGAAGCAAGTAAATTTTGCAATAATCTTGGCTCCCTGTGCATTGTTTGTTTGCAGCATACCTAAGGCTATGCAGATTGGAAGGCATAATTCCATCCTTGGAGGCAGCTCATGCACTGGCATACCTCGACAAACTTTGTCCTACTTTACCAAATGCCACCAAAGTCATAGTAAACTGTAGCGGTCGAGGAGATAAAGATGCAGGAATGGTTCTTGACCACAGACTTGAGTTAAGTTAAATGAGCACTCAATTTATCTTCGAATTATGAAAATAGGGAAAAGAATATAAGAAGGTACGTAATTTACTGTACTGGTTACTTGTGGACATATCAGCAATTCAAGGTATAACGAGGATGGAGAGCTTTATGTGGAAGCTCATCGAGCATTTCCTTGATAAAGCCAGCTCAATTTTTTTTCTCTGAAAAATTGAATGTTACTTTGCACTCGCTGATATCATAATGTATGGATTCATTTCAAGAAACTCTTAATAGAAAGAGAGTGTATTTCGTAGATTTGAGTTTCTCTCAAGAATAGGAATATAGTATACAGTGATTTCTTTTTCAATTTCCATATTAATATTAACATAAATTATATCTTAAAATTTATTTAACACCTTAAAATTTTATATTAAAATATTTCTTTAATATAGTATCAAAACATTAATATTCAAGGGGATAAGAGTTTAAATCTCATTATTTATATTTATTTAATAAAAATTAAATATAAAATAATATGAATATGTGGACATTTCAATCCTAAAAAATTTATATTTAAAAAAATATTAAAAAATAATATGATCCATATCTTTAAATTTTATTTAATAAAATAAGTTTGTAATTAAATAGTAATATAATTTGATGTAACTTCTGTTTCCAACACAAAAAATTAAATGCCTGTCGTCGTCATTATCATCGCAATGCCATACAATGATCTCCACAATTTCTCTCATGAGCTTTTTCTTTACCTCTTAGTTTTTGGTATTTTCTAGGGACCTTCCAATTTGCCTGACTGGATCTGGAGTTGGACTCAGGAGGTTCGGTGAGCCGGCGTGGTGTGTGTCCTACGATTCAAGATCGGGTGTGACTACGTGAAAAAGAGATGTGGTCGCCTGGGGTTTGAAGATGAAGATGCTGGGAGAGGATGTGGCTGGCTGTGGTCCAGTAGATGAAGATGGTGGGAGAGGGATGTGGTTGAGTGCTTGAAGATGAAGATGCTGGGAGAGGGATGTGGCTGCCTGTGGTCCAGTAGATGAAGATGGATTGATTTCATTACAGATGTGAAATTTTGAATTGTGAATTGTGAGTTGAGGGAGTGGCACAGGAGCAAGGAGAAGGACGGCTGGAGCAGGAGAATGGATGTTAGGGTTAAGAAAAATAACAAAAAAATTTATGTATTTATAGTACCCCTTAAACCGAACCAAGGCAAGTACTTTGTGAGTCGTTCAATGAATGTGATTACCATCACCAAGTATTAAAAAAGACTCCATCATTATAAATACAATTTCCTTGTCATTGAAATTCGTATCATTATAAATATGAAACATGACTAATTGTCTGTGTTTTTTTATTACAAACATGTAATTATTAAATAAAAATCTTGTCAGATGAGAATTGTCATTGAAGTTCATAAATGATAACCATAATCTTTCAAGTAAGCATCAAGCAGATCCGCGTCCGAGCGGATGGGTGGCAATGACGTTCTGCTCCAAATAAAAATGACCCTGCGGCTTCTGGACAGCAAAGTTTGGGCTCATTGATAATATTACAGCAGGAAAAGGCAAAAAACAAAAAACAAAAAAAAGATGAAAAACAGAGGGCAGAAATTATGTCACTGATGTGCTGTTGCTGCCACCAATTCATCCATCTGTGAGGAATTAAGCTTATTATGAGACGTTCAGGCCTTCTAGAGAATCAACTTAAAATGGTGACGGCTAACTGGTGCTCTGTGCAGTCCCTGCAGAAAGTCAAAACAAACTGCAAAAACAGACAACCCAGAAACTCCAGCAGTCTAACAATTACAGTGGATTATCGAGTGCCCTCGGAATAAAACTCAAACCATTCATGCATTCTGTATTGCATTTTTTTTTTCAGCCTCCATAAGCGACCAACAAAAACAACTGAAAACATTCCTTCTTTTTTTGCATATGAAAAAAATGGTTTTAAATATCCCTCTGAATGTTAGAAAGACAACTTTTAATTTTTTTCTGCATGATATAATGCATGGTACAAGCCCCACTATACATGTACATGATTTGGGCATATAGCCAAGGCATTGCACAGTCCAATGCAACTGTAAAACAAGTAAAAGCATACCGCTAACATGAAGAAACTCTAAGTTACAAGAGACTTGGAAGCTGATCTATAGAATGTTAACTCCGCATTCGTTTTCGACTACCTTCTTCAGTATTGCCCTGCAGATGATAAATCAGAAACAAATTTCTCAGGTTGTTAGAATATTAAAAGAAATCCCCAACCTGTTGGGCAAGAAAGTAAGGGATGGACTATATAGTAAACTGAACTTTCAACTTACATGTACTTCGATAATAATTTAACAGAACATGAACCATAAAGACCAAAATCTAGCAGAGAAAAAAAAAAACAGATATCTAGAGCTTGCCAGAGCACAGAAAAGACAAGGATATTGTCTAATACTACACACCACTCCAAAGTCACTTGTATTGCCATGATTCAATTTCACTGCAAGCTGAAGACGTAATGTTTTGCAGCAAGATACACATATCCAAGTGTTGGATTGAGGTTGGCACGAGTGTGCAGCTGAATTAAGAGTTGATGTTCCGATTACCAATTTTTATTGAATAATACGTCAACATATAACAACACTTGGAAACATAAATTGATTAACTATGCTGGTTTGATGTTCCGATTACCAATTTTTATTGAATAATACAATAACATATAACAATACTGAGAAACATAAATAGATTAATTATGCTGAGTGAAAGATCAAGATAAAAGCAAACGGACATAGAAAAAGAAATGCATACCCCTTCTTCATGTCCAAAATCTTCAGAGGGAACCCCACTAGAATCGGACCTGCATTTAGCATGTACAATAGGGCCTAACTGAGACCTATCCATGTCTGCCGTTGACCCATCAGAAGCATTCAGGTAGACAGCTCCTTTATACATCCATTCCTCAGTCTCATCACTGTAGAAATCATCAAAAGGCTCTCCACATAATGCACATGTACTCTGCTCTTCGTCAGCAGGAACAGCCATTTCATCATCATCCTTCTTCTCCACGATGGTCTCAGTGGGTAAAAATCCAGGAACTGCGTCAGTTCCCAATGCCTCTGCACCACTAAGCCACATACTTGCACTTACAAACCACTTGCGAGAAGGGTTCTGCTTACGGTTTTTGGACATCCGGTTCTTAGTAACATGCCAATCCATGTGACTACTGTGCTCTTCTTGACACTTTAATCGAAGGCCACATGTTGTGCACTGTCTTGGAAGGTCAGAATATAATGCACTTATTGCAGATTCATAGCGCAATTTGAGAAGGTCAGCATTGAACTCAAGCCCTACAGAGTCCTACGTATTGATTCACAAGGTTAGATTCAGCCTAAGATCACATTTGTTAAAGGAAAAATAGAGATTCTATTCCAATGAGTACCTGTAAAGGTGTTTGTTTTGTCATCGTGATCAAACCTTGAGCCATGAGAGAATTAATCAAACCAGAAAATGCACTGCCAGATGGTTGGGCGAGGGCACCTGAACTCGCATTCTGAGGGAAAGGAATCGTTTGAGAAGGACCTTGTGGCAAAGTTGGCCGAACCCCCACCTGTGAATGCAAGGTGTTTGGAACATTGCTGACCGCTAAAGGCAGTTGTACAGCAGGTAGCACATTTGAGGAACTATGCCCATGTGTGGTGTATCCATGATTCATTGGTCGTGCCAGTCGACGAGGTGGCAGTAAAGCTATCCCAGATGGATGAAAATTTTCTCGGGCTTCATGAGATGGAAGAAACTTTGGCTGAAAAGGATTAAAATGTGCCTGGTTTTGCTGATTCAAACCAGCATGTTGATTAGGCAATGGTGTTGGCTTCATCAAAACATAATCTTTGCTCTCAAAACTATTAAATGATTGTTCAGGCATAACTGAAGCTTTTTGCAAAGCCTGATTTGTGACAGTACTGTTGGTATTTACTGGATCAAACTGACCTCTACCCTGCTTTTCTGGTGGAAAACTAGAATGCACAGGAGGTGGGAGAGACTTGTGTACATTTACTGGAGGCCAGGCCCCTGATATTGGAGGCACAGCACTTGACCAGGTACCAGAACTATTAGAGTCAATGCTAGAACCGAATCTTGATGCAATTGCAGGAGGCCTAACAAGCTGTGCATCCATATCTGGAAGTTTATCAACAAGTGGATTGAAATTCTCTCCACCCATAGAGGATACACCACTACCAGATAAGGGCATCTGGAAATCCCTTCCTCTTCCTTTGGCATTCAGGAGATGTGATGGCTGACGGATGTGAGGCGGAAAATTCCAAGCTTCTTGAGAATAACGAGAACCCGATATATGATTTCTCTCAGTCAGGAGTCCAGGCATCTTGTTTGTTGATCCATGGCCAGGCTGCAGGAAGTACACCAATATCTTTAGCACATAAGATCAAAATTTGAAGTTGATTTTCTCTGTCAAAATACACAAACATAATTTTAAGACATAAAGAAAAGATGTAGAGGTTGGTTCCTAGTATATGAACAACAAACCCAACTGTTTCCTGAAACCAATAATAAGGGGACAATAAAACAGGTGAATATAACTTGAAAGGATATCTTTTTGACACAACTGACTATAAAAAAAAATAATTGAAATGCAAATTATCATCCAATGATAGTGTTGAACGCAGCAGAAAAGCTCTAAAATGTGCCAAATTGCAGAGGAGGCCTTGATGGGGATAAAGAGAAGAAATTGGGAGGGGGGGGAGGCAACTCATTATCAAATAAAAGCTTGTCAAGTTCCATTAAAAAAAAAAAGTCACCACCTTTGAGACACAATTTCACACAAGTTCCATTATAGAAAGAAATAAAATTAATTTAGAATCAACCAATTTCACGCAAAGCTATAACTTTGAGACACAAGTACAAGAAGTACATAAACAAGTTGAGAAAGCATACACCAAGAATCGAGACTGCATCTCCACCCATATTAGAGGAGTCATCCACCAAAGCCATTGGAGTCACACTAGACCCATTGCTCCTAATATCACAGTCTGCACGGATAGCATTTAGCCTTCCAAAGCCAGGCCTTGGAACAACACTTCCAAAAGGTGGAACAGATGGTGGCAAGAAATCATTGCTCCTACCACGATCTAACAAAGTAGGGCTCATATCTTCCCAATCAAATTCCTCCTCTTCAGTATTCTGCCATGATCTTGGAGCCACCTTATCACGCATGCCAATTACAGCCAACTGTTCAATGTGCAATGGTTTACTATTTGGAATTCTCTTCCCCCTATCATCCCCATATGCATCTATTAAAGCTCTGGGTCCTTGTTGCTCATGTCCATTGCTGAGAGATCTGGCAGAAGCTTCAAATCGGTAATGGTTATCATCAGAATAGTGTTTTCTTCTCAATTCATTTGTCTCATCATCTCTGACAACAACTCTGCCATGTCCATAATCAAATGGAGGATGAGATGGGGACAGCCCCTCCATGAACCTTCGGGGAGAATTTCCTGCTGCAAAGTCATCGATTTCTGAAGACGAAGGCCTCTCAGCTCCAGTTGTTGATGGCGACACGCGTCTTGCAAGCCTGGAAGTTGATGATGGCTGCAGCTTATTAGATCCAAGAGTGAGAGATGCACGGTCAGCTCCAACCTGTGAAGATATGACCTCTGCTTGATCAGTTTCATATTCATCATATCCAACAGCAGGTTTGTGACCATACATTTTTAGATTTGAAGAAGTTCCCTTTGTGTGCTGAACATTCTGCGGGGGGTTAAATTACAGTTTTAGCAATTTCTATGTTTGTATTGACCATCCTGTCTGCGTGCACACAGATGCACATTTCATTACATAGTGTCAATAGTTGATGATAACACAATTACCAAAGGACAACAATCAATAACAAAATACAAAATAATCCCAAAATGTAGCTTGTGAGCACATAAATTCAACTTAGAACCAAATGTTTTATTTCATACCAAGTAAAAAATAAGAAACAAACACAGTAGATTAAAAATAATACAGCCCAGAGGAAAGTCCCTGTATCAAAAACAGATGGAATAAAATCGATCTAGATTCTACATGCAACTTTAACATTGACCAAATAAACAGAAAAGGGGACCTAGCTTTAGTGGGATCATTAGAGATGGAATTTCTTAGACCTTTCAACCAAAAGGATCACAAATCAGTTTCCCTTCTAAAATTCTGACACAATATTCAGTTAAGTAGTAAAGGAAGAAATCGTTACAAGAAGCAAACAAAGAGTCGCACAATAGAAGGCCACTATATCAAGTATCTTAGACATAACCAACAAGTCAAACCACATGTATTTCAAGAAAAAATGAAAGTCTCCATATCTTGAAAAGCCATAGTAATGCCAAATGTCGGAGCATGGCACTTAATCAGTAGACATTTGACACAAATCCCTGAAATGGTATATTGAACAGTAACAATCAACAAAGTTGCAAAGCAACTAGTAACTAAACGGTTTTCTATTTAAACATTATATAAGTTGAAAACCATAAGATATGAAAGGTTACAGGGCCACGCATTATATAAACATGCTCCAAAGTGCAATTATCACAACTTTTCTTAAGACTCATCTTGATATCCAAAATCTACAACTGAAATGGTTAGCATCATGAGACCGTCTTTAGCCATTAATATTTCAGTCTTGAAAACACTGAAATGATGAACATTTGACTTGGCATATACTCCACTATGAACTCTTTTTATTTTAAAAAAAATATAAAATTTAAACAGGCCCAGTTGAAGGTTCCAAACACAAAGCATATGGTTTCAGAGCAGGACTACAAATGAGAGAGAGAGGGAGAGTTCAATGAGAACCTTACATTATCTCTACTTGAATCCATCTGACGTAAGTATTTTGGGTTCACATGTATGCCATGACTTGGTCTGGGTGATTCAGAAGCCTTCAAGGAAGTCAAATTTGATGACTGATTATTAATTTGTGAAGACAACTGCAGTTGTGTCTCAATCTTCCTAAGTACAGAAGATGGAAACACAGATGACCAAGTGCCAAAAAGGTGGCGCATTGAAGGATATAATCTAGGGTCAACTTGTCCATATGCCTCACAGAAAACCTGGTAAAGTGAAAAGAACAAAAATGTCAGAACCATGTAGCATAACAAATATCAATCATGAAAAATGAAAGAGAAAAAAGCACACTATTTTTTTACTAACTCACCTCGGGCAAACGGGAAGAAAAATACCCAATGTATTCACGGCCGATGTTCTTGACAATGCTATCTAAAAGATATAACGAAGGTAGCTTTAGATCTACTGGGACCTGCCAAAGATGAAAAGTAAACACAAACAACCATCCCTCCACAGAGAAAAAGGCATAGATATAGAAACTCAACTTTCTTATAGATAAGAAAAAAGGACAAAGCTGGGGGAGAAAAGTTCAAACTTTTAAATTAAAAGGTACACAATGAAATTGAATATTATAATCCAAAATTCTTCTAACTTCAAGAAATTCATACGTCAATCCATCTTCACTTTTCATAGTTAACTTGAGTAATATTTCTTCCCCTACTTGAAAACTCAAAATATCTTTCCAATATCCAGTATCACATTTATCCAAGGAACTAGCCAAGAAATGAAGAAAAATGAAAACAAATTCAAGTAAGTGAGAAATCTAAAAGCCCAAAAAACTAACAGATAGAACCAAAATCAATGGAAAAGGAGTTTAGAAAAGGGAGATTTCCCAAAAATTTCAAGCATTCAAAGCAGCACTCCAACCAAGCAGCTTGCATTTAAACGTCACAAGCTTTTTCTTCTCTTTCTAATGACTCTACTTAAATAAACAGACAATGAAACGAATGATATGCGGAAATAAAGTAAAATTTCCAATTTGTCAACCCAACAAAGCTGAAAATTTTTCAACTACATTAACTCTAGATTCTAAATCTCTCACATTTTCCCAACATCCGATACAACCGTTCAAAAACTCCCACCACAGCAGGGAAAAAAACGCTCAAAGTTCTACAGCCACACAACACATCTCCCAAACCTTGAAATAAAACCTAAAATCCATCAACTCTCCCACATTTCACTGACGCCAAGACTTCTAAATTCATCAATACCAGCATCATTCAAACTAAACCCCGAAATCCAAAATTAATACAAACACATACAAAAATTAATCAATAGCACCTCCCCAATTAAGAGACTAAAAAATCCTCTAAAGTTTCACTATCTCTAGCATTACTCCATCTCAATAACTAAACCCTAAAAAATCCCACACGTTAAAAAAAAATACAGACCTCGACAATGCGGCCACAAAGAGCATCAGCAATACCCTCACCGTGCTCCCTCAGTTCTCCGGCAATAATAGTCAAATCAGTGATAATAGGTTTTGAATTAAACGTTAATTCATTCAAAACTGTCTCATAAATCTCCACCATATCCTCCGTGCTCAATCCGCCACCTTCCTCCACCGCCGATTGTTGCCGCTGCTTCAATAAATACCTGAACTTGTCCAGTATTGAAGATGCTGGGGATTTCTGCGGCAGCAGCTCATTTGGCATGGTGCTGGTAACGGCTTCCGCTGCCTTGGTGGCCGTTTTAGGGTTTAGGAGTTTTGTGGATTGCATTTGTGTCCCATTAAGAGAGCGAATTGAGAATTGAATGTGGAGAATTAGGGTTTATGAATTGGGATTTTGATGGATTAGTGGCATCGATTTTTTATTTTCTAGAGAGAGAGAGTGATAAAGAGGGAACTTGCTTGGCCTCTTTCTTTTATTTTTTTAATTATAACTCCATCCTTACATTTTATTACATTTGATGAATTGGTCCTTGTAGGATTTAAAATAATAGATTTTAATCCTCAGTTTAGACAATTATTTTTTTATCCAAGGTTAAATAAATTAGAAAGAAAAATGGAATGGATAAAGGGACAAAGTTATAAACAAATTGATAAATATAAGGATGAAACATAATTTTCTAAGATTGTAAGGACTGGTTAATTTTTTTAAAATCAATAGACAGATCGTTTGGCCTTCTATTTTATTTTTTAAAAAGAAAAATTATTGTCAGTCAAAGCATTTGATTTTTGCATTTTAGCATAATATTAACAAAAGGCTAAAGCCGGTGATATTACTGTGCCTCGTGATACAGTTTACTATTTATTTTAATAGTATAATTACTGTCTTGTCTCTTGATTATTATTATTACTATTATTATTTATATCAGGGATAGGATGGTCTTTTATAGGATATAAATGTCTTTTAAAACTTGTGTAGGATTATTTTGATAATTGCATTTGTAACTGCATACTAAAATAATGAATTTAACCATGGAAAAAAAATAACTGCATGTTATCTCCACAAGAGCGACTTTGTATTTTCATGTATGACTGGAGAGCAAATTTACGACATTACCCATGTATTTAAAGGCTTCGTGGTAATTTTTTCATGGTATGTTTGTAATTGTTGATTGGTCCTGGGTCATTTTTAATTTTATGCAATTAAAAAAATTCAAAAAAGTTATTGAAATGAGTAAAGTGCTTGCTAGCACAGTAGCCACTTAATTGACTTTGAGTGGCATGTATAGTTAATTTTAGTGGTTGTATTGGTGTTTTTGCCATATTATTAGATTCATTTCAACATTTTTTTTTGTTATATAACACATGTATGGTGGTTTAATGTGGCTTAACTGAAAATAAAATTTTTATTTCTTTTTTCTTTTTTTTTTCTTGAATTTATATAGAAGTCATACAGAAAATCAAAACAGTTTTTCAATTTTTTTTTTTCGATTCAATCTCTCTTCTTTTATTTATATATATTTTTTTTTACATTGGTTGTTTCTAATTAAATTTTATTTTTGATTTTATTTCTAATCATTTGATTTTTAAAATTTATTTTCAAATTTGGTATTATTTTTTGAATTGTTATTTGTTTTATTTTTAATTGTTTTCTTAATTTATTTGTTTTTTTTACGATCTTACCATTTTTTTCATTAATTTTTGTTTCAAATTTGGTCATGTTTCTTTTACTTGCTATTTTTATATCGTTCTTGATGGATTGGTTTTTTACAATTTTATCCTTAAACATTTAATTTGATTTGATTTATATATTGAATTTAGATCTAATTTTTTTAATTGTTTTTTTTTATTTTGCATGATTTTTTATTGATTTGTTTTTAATTTCATCCCTCGATGTCAAATTTAATGTTTATTGATTTTTTTTTCAATTTCATCCCTCGATGTCAAATTTAATACTAATCATTTTCTCAATTTTCTTGGGATAATTTTGATTTTTTTTTCAAATTTTATCTTTGTTTGGTTTTTTTTCCATTAGGATTTTAAGCCTATTTTTTTTGTTGCTCCTTTTCTTTTGTAAGTTTTTTTATTAGTAGTTTTTTCAACAATTTCATTACTCAAAAGTAAATCGGATGGCATTTAAATTTTTTTAATTAAACTCAAGTTCATGATTTAACAAGTTGCAATTTTTTTAAGATTAAATAAGGTTTAAAAGGTTCGTTTGTGATTTCTTTATTTTTTTTATTTTTTTAAGTTGAAATTTTTTTTAAGTTTGACTCCTTTTGTTCTAATTTTTTTTTTGTTTTAGTTAGGTTAGTATCGAGTTGTTTAATAATCTAAATAGACTTGGAAGTGGTTCTTTCTATCCTTTTCTCATTGTTTTTTGGTCAATTTATTTATTGTTGTTATATTTTTATTATTATTATTTAAATTACTATTTTAACCAATAATTTTGGACTTGAATGTTTTATATTTGATATATTTTTACATAAAAAAAATTATTGGTCCACCGGTTGCGAAGAGCGGACACCATGTCTAATTCTTTATTAAAACTTATTTAATAAGAGATTAATAATTAATGAATAAATATTTTAGAAATAGATCAATAATATCTATAAATGAAGTCCTTAATAGATGTAAAAAACTAAACTCAACAAAATTTTAGATAATATATTATTTGAGCCATGTCATTATTAATATTAAATAGAAAAAATCAAAATTATTTTAAAATTTACACCAAGATATATCAAGAATATATCATCTATATCTTTCTAAAAAAATAACAATAACTATATATACATATATTCTTTTAAAATAACATTTTTTAAGGCAGTCTAGTTGTAATAACTTTAACTTATCACAATGTAAAAGTAAAATTTAAAGATTTAAAATTTTAAAATAATAAAATTTTAACATATCTAATGGAAAAAAAATAATCTATCTTAAGGTCCAGGGATGCAATAGCAATACGAAAAGGAGCTACATTTAGCTAACGAAGTGCAATTGGCTTTCTTCTATTTATTTTTTTTATGTAAAACCCCATAACTTTTTACACTTAGTATGGTGGTCAAAAACATTTAATTAGACTTCCATTTTTTTTTATTAAAGCAAATAAAATCATGTTTCATAAAAATAAAAGTTTTTTTTTACCATTTGTTTTACAAAAATAAAAAGAGCTCTTTCTTTTTCAGTATATTATTGGTGATTGTTTTTAATGTAGTTTAATTAACAATTAAAAAATAACAAATACTATTTTAAAATCTATATTATTTGTCCCATCCTATTTATATACAAGTTATTTAACTCATGTTTCTTCACAGGTCGCATAAAAAAATTCTTTAATATGAAAAAGATTTTTACATGTTTTTTAATATAAAAAAATCTCAATCACAAATCAAAAAATTCATGGATACATTTAATTAAATAAACTAAGAACCGCTCGTATAATAAAAAAATTTATAAAACTTAATTTCTAACCATTTTAAGTTAATTAGTGAACCTATAATCTAGGTCATGTACTCGATTAGATTAAATAATTTTATTCATTAATTTTTCATTATTATTTCAAATAGACATCTATAAAAATGAGAACCAACCAAGGCAATTGGATAAAAATACCAAAATAAAAAAAATTGAGCTGCTCAATTAATAATTAACAAAATATTAAATAATAAAATTAAAAAAATATTAAACAAATAAAAATATCTAACAAAATATTAAATAATAAAATTAAAAATATATTAAACAAGTAAAAATATTCAATTTTAATGGGGATAAAAAAACACAAGTACCCAAGAACGCACGAGCCTCAAGAAAAAAGTTCGAGTGCTCAACCCATTCATTTTTTATGCTTAAATGTCATTATAAAATTATACTATGCTGTTTCAAATCAAAACAAACATATTTTTAAACATATTTCAATAATAATAATAAACCTCAAAAAACACCTTTGACACATTATGAAACATATTCTTGGTCTTAAATAACCCAAAAAGATGCTCGAAAACCAATAATTAACCCAAAATTAAATTTATTTTCTGACTAAAATTTACCATATAATGCAAGTTTATGAAAAAAAAAGATCTAGTATAAACTCTTTTCATTGAAAGGAATTCATTAATATCAAAATAACTTGTTTTTCGTGGCCTTGATAGGTGTAAATAATGAATTCCAGACACTTTTCCTTTCCTCTCTCAAACCAAGAAACAAAAAGAAAAAAAAAAAGAGTTTAAGATCAAAATTGGTTTTGTTCTTTTTTTTTAAAATTGAAGGGACCTCATAGCTATAATTAAAAAATTTTAGAGATTAAAGTGCATGTTTTGCATAAAACTTTGTTTAAACCACTTATTCCCTTCATGTTTTTTTTTTTTATTTCTTTTCTTTTAATCTTTTTTTATTTTAATTTCTTTTCTTTTAATCTCATTATTTTTCAACAAGTCAACTTAAGCTAGCTTTTAATTTGGCAAGGGCAAAAAAATTAGAATGAATATGGATTTATTGAGAGAAACTACTGTGAATATTAATTTATTATGTAATTTTTATATCAGATGTTTTTAAATATTTATTTAATTTTTAAATAAAATATACAAAAAGAATATAACTTTTTAATTTTTTTATCAATTATTTAATTAATTAAAAAATATATCAAAATATATAAAAATATTTCTTTAAGATTACAATAATTTCTTGAGAAAAATATGTACAACATACAAATTTTGATAAATATTGGAAATCTAAATTTGAATCTTTTTGTTTGGGCTTCTTTTTCATGGGCTGCTTTTATGAATAAACCCAAGAGGACCCGTCGATAGTGAGGTCTAATGGTGTTTGGTGTGGCGGCAGCAGCTCATTTGGTGTAGTGGTAATAATGGATTCTGCTACTAATGCAGATGCGGCCGCCTGGGTGAAGGTTTTAGGGTCTAGGACTTTTGCATTTAGTTCAAATCAGAGAAAGAGTTGATGGTACTGAATGCAAAGATTTAATGCTTTAGGATTTTGATTGAAAGACAATGAATTGCTTAAATCTAACAACGTTGATGTCCTCAAAATCTTGTCTTTCTAGCACTAGTCTACTCTCTTTTCACTCTTCTACCAGCCCTTTTCTGCTTCCAAGATCATCTTCAAGATTCTCTCACGTGACCCCAATTCACTGTGGCCTTCGAGAGCTTAGGAATCGTATAAATTCAGTGAAAAACACACAGAAGATCACTGAGGCTATGAAGCTTGTTTCTGCTGCTAAAGTGCGGAGAGCACAAGAAGCTGTTGTTAATGGTAGGCCTTTTTCTGAAACTCTTGTTGAAGTGCTTTATAACATTAATGAACAGCTTCAAACTGAGGATATAGATATGCCTTTAACTAATATTAGGCCTGTCAAAAAAGTTGCTCTTGTTGTGATTACTGGTGGCAGAGGACTTTGTGGGGGTTTTAATAATAATATAATCAAGATAGCAGAAGCAAGAATTGCTGAATTGAAGAATCAGGGAGTTGAATATACTGTAATCAGTGTTGGAAAGAAGGGTAAATCTTATTTTATTCGCAGGCCGCATATTCCTGTTGATAGGTTTCTTGAAGGAATGGGTTTTCCTACAGCCAAAGAAGCTCAAGCAATTGCAGATGATGTTTTTTCATTGTTTGTTAGTGAGGAGGTTGATAAAGTGGAGCTTTTGTACACGAAATTCGTGTCATTTGTTAAGTTTGTTCCTGTTATACAAACCTTGCTCCCGTTATCTCCGAAGGGAAGGATTTGTGATATGAATGGTGTTAGTGTTGATGCAGATGGGGATGAGTTCTTCAGGTTGACCACTAAAGAACGGAAATTGACCGTGGAGAGAGATGTTGTTAGGACTGAAACGGCAGAGCTCTCTCCAATTTTGCAGTTTGAGCAGGATCCAGTTCAGATTCTTGATGCCTTGTTGCCTTTGTATTTGAACAGCCAGATTTTGAAGGCATTGCAGGAATCACTAGCTAGTGAGCTTGCTGCTAGAATGTGTGCTATGAGCAATGCAACTGATAATGCTGTGGAATTGAAGAAGAGCCTTTCAATCATTTACAACAGGGAGCGTCAGGCCAAAATTACAGGAGAGCTATTGGAGATTGTTGCTGGTGCCGATGCCTTAACCTAATGAATTCATCATGTTAGTCCCTATACAACTCTGCTTCTCTCCACAATTATGCTTCTTTGTAGGTATAATTCAAGGGTGATTCCATATTCATTCAAATATGCTTTGTTTTAAAGAAGTTATTGAGACAAATGACTTTTTTTTTCCTCTTGTAATTCTCAAACTACTTGTAACAGCTCTGTGCAACATGAGAAATGCATTGTCTTTCAGAACAGAAGAGTTTTCTGCATATCTTTGTACCCAATTAATTTTCTCTAATATCTACACTAGTATTGTTTGTGGAGTTTTCTCTACAAGGATATCCTGTAGAGGTCAGTTTCTGTTGGATGAGCCGATACGCAGATTATTTATAGCAGAACTCAGTCCTTTTCGCTGCAATGTAATTAGATTTACAAAGGGTTTCTTATCTCTTTCATCCATTTAAATTCTCCTGCTTCGTAATCCTGAATGGCCTCAAACATTCATAGTGCCAAATAAAGCTCTTATATTTTGGAGAGCAAAGTATGGATTTCAGAAAACTGGTGTTGCTCATGCTGTCACTGAAATTCATCTTAGATTGCCAGTGCCAGTTGAGAGAGCAGTATTACTGTATTAATTACCTGTGAAAATTATTTGAGATGCTTAATGCCAATGCAATGCAGCAGCCAAAAGAATCAGTTGCAGTGTCAAGTTTATTCAGCCCTCGTGATGGAACCTGGCAGTCGAAGGACTCTTGTGTTACTGTCAGCTTCTCCATGATTGGTTTGCGACTTCAAACAACTGCAAAACCCTTCCTTTTCAGTGGCACCTTTTGACATCAAAAACCTTGTTTCAAACAGTAAGTATCATAATCCTTTTCTCCTTCCACTTTCCTCTGCATTCAACTATTTATTAGCCAATCTGGTATGAGATTGAGGTAATGAGTTGTGTCCAGAAGCTCTTTTGAAACGATGAAGGTAAGTTTAATATGCATCCGATTTTGTAGACAGCGAGACAATAGTGAAGATGTTAACCATTGTTTCTATTTGAACTTCCTCTGAGGCTCCTTTCAGCCTCGTATTGTTTAGATCATGCACTTGTGGTAGGATTGAACAAGTGATGACATCCACCAGTTTGTCGAGCGAAAGTATCAATCTTTAGCGGATAAACTTCCTGTGAGATAGAGAGAGCGACGATTATTATATTTTTGGAAAAACTTTAAATTGGTCCCTCTACTACAAATATTGTTTCAATTAAAAAATAAGGCAAGATTTAGCCTACAATAGTCAAATGTCTACTAGTGTTATTTCTTCATATGATTCTGTCACATCCTTTATGCACATCTTTTTTTTTGTGACAAAATTAGTGCCGTTTACTTAGAATTTCAATTATAATCACAGAATTTCTAAGTGCTGTTAAATTAAATCATGCGATGTTGTGCAGAATTATTTCCTAGCAAAATACAAGAAATCAAGAAAACCATTGAAATTATGAATTTATTTGTTCAAACTTGCATTTTTAAATTTTGATTTTGACACTAAAAAGTAGTTCAATTAAAAAATTAAGCAATAAATTGTTTTAGATTTTTCTTAAAAAAATGAATTAATGTCATCTTGAAAATAAAAAGTTAAAAAAGTTGAAACAATGTCTTTTTTTATCATTTGTTTTTTAAAATAACAAATTCTTGAAGTTGATCCGACTAAATTTTACTTGGCGGATCATCTTGCTAGGAATAGTCGAGTTTAGTAATTATGATGTAAATAGATAACATAAAAAAAAAAAAATTGATATTTAAGCAAAACCTTGGAGGATGAGAATGAAATATAGTGTATAGATGGAGGAGAGTTTTGGAGTTCTTTTTGTTGTAAATAATAAAGCTTTAAAAATTATTTTAAAAAGTTTTTATTCCACATTGAAAATACATCATTTTCTCCTTTTAAGTTTAAATATTTAAATAAAAATAGTTTTTTATTTTATATTGAAAAAAAATCTAATTTTCTTCTTATAAATATAAAATATATATATTAATAGACTTTTAATCCTATATTAAAAAAATAAGATATTTTTATTATATAGTAAACTTTGATATGAAATAATAACAAACAAAAAAATAATGACAGGCTTGTAAGTATAAGATTAAGTTGAATAAAAGAAAAATCTTTGATTGCCTCTTTGCCCATAAGACAACAACGCATATACTTTTTTGAGTATTTTGTTTCTAATAATAATTTGTAATTGGCCTATAATTTGAAACCATAATTTTTTAACTTTTTAAATTATTTTTTTAGCAATCATCATCATAATCATATTTTTCCTAACATTTTTTTTTTAATATGTTGAAATAACTATGTTACAAGACAACTCTTTAACTTTCCCATTTAATTTTTTTTTTGGTTGTTGTATATTATCAGCATATAAATACCCTGTACTATTAGAATAAGATAATAACAAATAAAAGAATATTAATGCTCACGAGTCTTGCTAGGTATTTTGTTTATTTTCTTCTTCATCTTGTTTTAATTGTTTTAGCTTCTTCTTGTAACTTTTTAACATATCAAATAAATGTTAAAATTGTTTTTTCAAATGGTGATATAAAAGAATATATAGTCCCTGGACAAGAAAATAAAAATTACAAATTAAAAAAGCTTTTATATGGCTTAAAGCTCCTAAATAATGACATAAAAAATTTAAACAGATTGTTTTAAATAATTGTTTTTTTAGTTAATGTGGATAAATATGTATACTAAGTCTATTAATACTATATATATGATTATTAGTTTATATATAGATGATATACTTGTTTTTAGTACTAACATAAATGTCATGCATGGTAGTACTATATGTTTCTTAGCATTTAAATTTGATATGAAACACATAGATAAAGCTAGTGTAATATTGTATAGTAAATTTACAAGGAGAGACAATGATATAATATTAACACAAAAACATATTAACACAAAAACACTATGTAGTGAAACTTCTCAAAAAATTTGATTACTTTAATATGATATTTGTAAATATTTTTTATAATGCTAACACTCAATTGAAAAAAAATAATAAAGGTGAGTTGTTACTTAACTTGAGTATGCTTAGATTATTAAGAGTTTAATACATTTGATAAACTTCACTTAACATGACATAACATATGTTATGTGTGTGTAATCCCACTCATGACTATATTTCAATGATAGTTTAACTAATAAAATATTTGAGAGGTACCATAAATTATAGTATTGGGCTTATAGTAGAATTCTTGTTGTATTAGATGGATACAATGATAATAATTGGATTTCATATTCAAATAAGATTAAATTTACTAGTAGTAATATATTTATTTTTAGTAGTGGTATAGTGTCTTGAAAATCATCCAAGCAAATTGTTTGATTCATTACGAAGTCAGCATGTATAGCTTTAGAATCAACAAAAAATAAAGCTTATTAGTTGAGGGATTTCTAATTGAAATTCCATTGAGAATAAAACCAATACCTTCTATGTAATACATTGTAATTGCCAAACGATAATAGTCATTGCTAAGAATAAATCTTTTAATAATAAAAATCGACATATTCAATTAAAACATGATGTTATAAAGTAGCTCCTAAAAGATATAATTATTTTAATTGACTATGTGAAATTAAAAATAAATTTGGTTAATCCTCTTATTAAAATGATATTTGAAACATCAAGGGGAATGAGATTAATGCTAATTGAGAATTCAAAATGATGTTAACACAACCTATATGATTGAAGATCCCATGAATTAGGTTTATATAAGTAATAACAAAGTCATTTATGATTCAGTAGCATTATAAAAACAAGTTATTTCTTATGATGTGATGTGAGAATAATGCCAATATGTAATTAAAAAGTGGAATTAGGTTTATATAAGTAATAACAAAGTTATTTATGATTCAGTAGCATTATAAAAACAAGTTATTTCTTATGATGTGATGTGAGAATAATGCCAATATGTAATTAAAAAGTGTATAAAAGTTAAAAAAAAACTTTATTAATAATTATGTAAGTTAAATCTTATTTTTTAATTACATATTGGCATTATTTCTTAATAAATTTCATATTTTTTATAGGTAGTGTTCAAATTATAGTGAAAATTTGATGGAATGAGTATGAGTATGGAATGAGTCCACTTTGATATTAGAAAATCTATAAAGCACTCATAAATAATTAAGCATGCAAATGACCTATTAGCACAAAATCAAGTCAAATAACAAGAAATTATAAGGGTATAATATAATTGGTAAGATATCTAATTTACAATAATAATTTTTAGTTTATAAAAGTTAAAAAAAAACTTTATTAATAATTATGTAAGTTAAATCTTATTTTTTCTATAATATGGTTCGTGATTCAAAAACATTAGGTTAGATGCATTACATTCAATAAATAGAAATTCAACAAATATATTTTTATTTAAAAAAAATTATAAAATATATGGGGGATTTTTGTAAATAATAAAGTTTTAGATATTATTTCAAAACATTTGTATCTCATATTGAAAAGATATTTTTTTTTTAAGTTAAAGTATTTAAATAAAAAAGATTTATTATTTTATATTGAAAAAATACAACCTTTTTTTAATATAAAACATATATATTAATATATTTTTAATTTCACATTGAAAAAATAAAATACTTTTCTAAAGTTTATATAATTTTACGATAGCAACCAAAAATAAAAAAGTGATAGGCTTGCAATGCATAAGGTTGGACTGAATAAGAATAAAACCTCTAATTACCCCCGCACGCAAAACAATATCTATACATTTTAAATATTTTATCTTTAGTAGTAATTTTTTTAACCCTTAAAATAAATTCATAGTTTTTTAACTCCTTGAATTAATTTTCTAACAGTAATCATCACATCTATATTTTTCCAAACATTTTGTTTTAATATGTTGTAAAGGCTATCTGTTATAAGACCGCTATTTAATTTTTCCATTTAATTTTCTTCCTGCTTATTATATGCTATCACCCTATAAATACACTGTATTTTTGGAATCAGACAACTAACGAAAGAATATTTATACCCTTAGGTCTTGCTGGGTGCTTTGTTTATTTTCTTATTTATCTTGTTGTTTCTACGACCCTTATTTAGAGAAAAACCTGTTAAACCCTAAAGATAACTTTGTATGCAAGAAAACATCCTTAAATACAATATTTACGTACGCTTTTGCTATTTTTTTTGGATATAATTTTATAAGGGATGAACTGTTTATTTTTATGTTTTAAAAATATTTTTAAAAAATTTAATATTTTTATTTGTTTATTTACTTCAAATTAATATGTTTTTAATATTTTTAAATCATTTTGATATGCTAATGTTAAAAATAATTTTTTTAAAATAAAAAATATCATTAATATATATTTTAACATAAAAAATTATTTGAAAAACAACTACAACTATTTTTTAACATAAAAAGTTATTTAAAAAGTAACTACAACTATCCTGCTAAACAAGTTTGGCTAAAATGCATTTTTACCCTTACAGTTTCCGATACTCTACTTTGCAACTATAAGTTTTAATTTTTACCTCTGATAATAAATAACTAACAAGAAATAACCTTTTTAGTTTTTAAAATTTATTATATTTTTCCTACTTCTCTCCCACTTTCTCCCTCTAAAATCCCTACATATGTTATATATCTCACATGAACATTTAAAAAAGACCCCAAAAACCAAATTAAAAAAGTTACTTGTTATGATTAAGGGCAGTGAAAACTAGAAGGGTAGTATTGATAAATTTAAATGAAGGGGTAGGAATGATAATTACTACGAGCTTAAATAAATAAACGTGACGGGGGGATGCTTTTTTTTTAAAAAAAAAAAATTGTATGATAATTATTTTTATTGTAATATTTATTTAATTATTAAGATTATACAAAGGTTTATGGAATTTAAAAATCCTAATTCTAGTTGGATTCTATTATTCACGAAGAGTCTTTTTCCTGTAAGGATTCTAGTACTATTATAAAGGGATGTCTAGCTTGTTTTTTTTTCATTAGAGATCATTATTCAGAACTTTCCAAGCAAAGTACTTCTTTCTTCTATAAACTGCGTCACAAACTACTACCATGCGTGAAAGTGATCAAGATATCGATGCCAAAAGCCAGAAGCAGAGGAAGTTACCGAACAACATGGATGAGGAAATGAATATGATAGAAAATCTGCCAGACGCCATGCTTCTGCACCTCTTGTCTTTCCTTCCGGCGAAAGATGTCCTCAAAACTAGCATATTATCTAAGAGATGGCGACATCTATGGATGTCTGTTTCCAATCTTTACTTTGAAGAATGGAGACCTGATAAATTTGTGATGTTCATGGATTCTGCAGAAAGGGCGACGGTGTGTCGTGATGTTCCAAGAATTGAGAAATTCTCTCTCTCAAGTCATATGTTAAATAGTGCATGTATTAATGCACTGATAAGTAATGCACTGAGCTTTAAAGTGGAAGACTTTTCATTTCGCCTTGTCTATGTTGGTGTGCCAATATTTTTACCTCATCACCTGTTCTCTTGTCCAACACTAACTGTTCTGAATCTAGAAGAAGTTACTCAATTTCCTTGCAGTACTGCATGTCTTCCCAATCTGAAGAAGGTAAGATTGTCATGTGGTTAACTTCCGTATCAGCAGTTACTGTTGCAGTTCTTTTCCGGTTGCCCAAAATTGCAGAAGCTGATTCTGAATCGATGCTTTTGGAGGGATGCAAATCTTGGTTTTATTTCTACTCCCATGCCTGAACCGGTGGACATTACTCAACTTCCTTCTACTTCATGTCTTCCCGATCTGAAGGAGTTAGAATTGTCATTTTGTCTACTTCCATATGGGCAGTCAATGGTGCAGTTCTTTGGTGATTGCCCAAAATTACAGAAGCTAACTCTGAAAGAATGCCATTGGGGGTTAGCAGATTGTCTCTACATTTCTACTCCCATGCTCGAATCCGTGGTCATTTGTGATGCTACTTCGAGTGGTGGTTGTAAAGTCGTGATTTCTGGATCGAATATTAAATCCTTCTCCTACCAAGGTGATCTCAGAACTACTTATTGTTTATGTTCATCCTCGATAGTTGATGCATATATACATGTGAGTTCAAAAGGTATGATTGAAAGGGAAGGGAGAGAAAAAGAAGTTGCCCATCGTGTCCATAAGCTTATTATGGAGTGCTGTAATGTGAAACACTTGCGGCTATCACCTGATACTCTTGAGGTATGTTTCCAGTGTATTAGAAGTCAGTTAATTATGTCATTAGGACAGTGTTTCTTATGAATACGAGGTTGTTTTCTTCTTCTTCTTCTTAAGGATTTAATTCATGTTAATCAAAGGGGAGTTCCTCGATTGCAATTATAAATTTCATGCTATTTTGTTTTTGGTTTTCTAGGCTCTTGCTTATGCAGACGAACTAGATCTTCCAGTGTTTCAGAGATTGACTCGTCTTGAATTGAAGAGGAAGAGTGTGGATTTATCGTGCAGAGCACTGAATACATTGCTACAGAAATTGCCTCATCTTGACTGTCTTGATTTCCGAATGGTATGATTTTCAAACCACCAAATAGATTTTGCTGGGGTGATGTGGGGTTAAACTTGAATATTTTGGTTGAAATGTATGATTGATTTGCAGGGTGTCTTCTTGCCTAAGAAACATAAAAATTTCGCATTGGATCCATTGCCTCCTTGTTTCTTGACACAACTCAAGATCATCAAGATCCACACATTCTCTTTAACTGACGAGGAATTGCATGCTGTCGGGATTTTATTCAGAGTTTCAACTGTTTTGGAGAAGTTGTATATTTCAGGAGGCAGGTTGAACCAGAATAAGATATCCATGCTCGCTAGAGAATCAAAATTTGAAATCATTTCCGTGTGAACCATGCACCTGATTTGAGTTTTGACAGAAAATCCCATGTGTTGAGCTATTAAAACAACTTGTGCTTTTGCTTTTATTTTTCTGCAGTAGTATTTTAGGTCAATGGTATTTGTAACGGTTCAAGCTGTTCAATAGGGATATTTTGGGTCCGATTCTGCTACACATTCTAGTTGTTCTTCAATTTCCTGCAAGTATTTTTGGGTCTGATTCTTCTCCATGATGGGACTAGGTTCTTCGAAAATTCATCTGGGATTTTGTTGTATCTTAATGTTTTTATTTATTCCATTGATGCACAAGCGTTTATTGCTGATCTTCCAATTGCAGATTCATGATTTAACTGCTTGTTTTTTAGGCTGTAAAATATTCCTTAGTGCTTCCTGTTTCTTTCTCTCGGTGGTTAAAACCTCCTCCCCTATTTTCTTGAAGAAATTTAAAGGCTCGCAGAAATTAAAATCTGATTAGGAGGTCTTGAACCCTTTTCACTTGCGCAAGGATCCCAAGACGAGTGTCTTGAAATTCAACGATGCAACAAAATCTGTTAATTGTGTTCATAAAATATGGCCACATCGGAGATGGAGACACTGAATGAGATGAATTGTATAAAAAAAGAAAAAGAAATTTGCCTTTTTTTTAACATATAATCAATTGAAAATAATTTTCAAAATTTGCCTCATCACAGCTGCTCACAGCTTAAAATCAAACAAAATTTTGGAAAAATAAACATCTACCACCTCCACCATTCACACTAGTAAAGAAGGCGACTCGTATCCAACGGTGGTTAACAGCTCATATCTGACCTTTGATTTCAGAAATTGAAAGAAAATCTAAAACTCCATTCAAGGAGGCACAGGTCAAGTAATAAAAATGTTTCAGGCTTCGATGTCCGAAAACCAAAAATGAGATTTTACTGCAGCAATAACAAAACCAACCTTTTAGGCTGAAATTATTTCTGTCAAACAACAACTGAAAGATACAGTGCTTAAATTTAGCCCCATCACAGGGGCTTCAGAAGCAATCGATGATTGAAAAATAAAAAAGGATGAACAAAATCTAAATTGTTTGTAAGTTGTTGTATCATGAGAACATCTGGCTGCTATTCCATTTGTGAAGAACCAATGGAAGTTGTAGAGGAGGAGCAAACACTAAGACTTCAACTTCTCAAAGGGAGTTGAAATTCACTTACTTTCGCTGTCATATATATCTGTTCTGAACATAAATATCAAGGAAACCCAACAAAGTAATATAGAAGACAAAAGAAAGAGTAATGTTTTCTACACTAGCAAACATAGACAATTGCTTATAATTTCACTATCAAAATGCATCTTATTTCCTTCTAATTGGCTGCAATCTAATTGATGATGGGCAGGCAACCACATAGACACTACAGACCTCAGACTCTAACTGTCAAATCAAAATGGCATGAGACAGATTGCCCAAAAGGTCTGCATGCCAGTTTTCACGGAAGTGATAAAGAGAAAATAGTTGAATTAAGCTGTTATGAATTCAGGAAAAAGAAAATAATCACAATCATATAAAATGCAGCATATCATACTCTGCATTATACTTTGCCATCAGCAATGACATTTTGGTTCAGACAGTTTTTCAAAAAGAAAAGGAAATATGCATACTGAAGTTAGGAGATTGGCCTTGTTTCCATTTTCTTTTCAATGGCTTGATTTTCTGTAGTCATTTCCATGAACTCATTCGCAGAAATCGTCCATAGTTCTCATGTACTCATTCACATATACCCAGTGGAGCATGGAAAGAACCAAAAGTGGACAACATTAAACTGCAAAAGACCATGAAATGGATGTTTTGTGACCGTCAAAGAACCAGATTATCTAAGGAATTATCTGTACAACTACAGCATGAGATTCTGACTAAACACTATACAGTTTGCCAAAAGTGCAATTAAGTGTTTTTGGTAAAGTGGTGTGGGTGCTTTTCAACTGAAAAGGGTATCAATTTGATAGTTTTTTAGGTGTTTTTCATTGGTTTTAACATCTTCACATCAAAACCATCTAAACACACCTAAAAGGCATTGATTTTGATGCTTTTACGACACACTTTTCATCCATCTATACTACCCTGAATCACAAAATGCTACGAATCATCCATCCATACTACCCTGAATCACAATATGCTATGAATCATCCATCCATAATACCCTGAATCACGATGGTGTAACAGCTTCTACAACTATAAACTCCAATTTAATAGTAGTATGACAGCAAACAAAATACCACATATCTGACTTAACAATGTAACAAAAATTACCTGAAATTAAACTCCGTATCTTTCTTCTATCTACTTCCATTACTCATCAAATAGCAGAAACGAAGGTATATATATAATTTTATAGCAATTTTTATGAAAGACGCTCTACCTTCCACTCCTTGTATCCGTTCTATTTTCTCAAATAAAATATAAACCAAGAAATAGGAACCCTTCAAACGAAGGCCACAGTCATTGAGAAGCAATAAATTTAAGGACCAAAATGAGCATATTAAGGCATTCAACACAATGATATGACTGCTCAAACATTCGCAAGCCAGAATCACATAGCACTAGAATCAAATTGCATTACGGAAGAACAAGAAAAACAAAAAGGATACACCAAGTAAAAGCCATGAGCAAAAGCACCAACCAAGACAGCCGTGAAAAGACGGTCCCTTACAACAGGATTCTTACGCAGGGTGAGTCGAACTGAAAATATTAAAAAAACAAACAAACTCGTCATTAAACACGAAAATGGACAAACCCATTTCAAGAAACATAAAAAAGTTCCCTTTTTCAAGAAACATAAAAAGTAGAAGCTTACTTAGAGGAAGAACAGGAGCATAGACAAGAGGAACCAAGAACTTGATCGGGGGTCCATTCTTTTTCCTTCTAATCGCTGCTGCCGCCTCCCTTCATCAGATTCATAAATAAAATCAAATCAGCAATAATATATAAGCATTTACATAAACTATGGACTCGTACACATGTCTCCGGCAAATAAAACTCACGGGTTGGTGGGATCAGACGGTGAAGCCATGAGAGGAGGAGGGCTGGGCAGTGGGATACCTGCGATGGCTGAAATTCTCAAATCTGAGAATGTTTCCTCTTGTTAGTTTGGGCTGAAAATTCTGCTCTTTTTTCTTCTTCTTTTTTATGTCAATAGTAAGGACTGTAAATTCATGGGTTGGGTTTGGGCTCCATTCACCAAAATCAATCACTTAGTGTACTAAACAATTCTTAAGAAATTAATCTAATTACTTTTGGGAAAAAGATTTTCGATTTTATTGAAATAATGCCTGGAAATTTGAGAAAACTTGTTTAATAATTATTGTTTGTTTCTTGGGAATATAAAGCTTTCTGTTTTTCTATTTCATTAGTTAGAAAGGAAAGCCAATAAATGCTGTCTTCTAAAACCTTCCACTTTAAAATACGAAACTTTTGTTAGATTTACCTGTTATTTTAGATATATCTGGTTGATATGTACGAGGAAACATTTCAAAAACCTAATTTTATTTATTTTTGTGGCAATTAAAATGAATGTTCAAAAGAATTCTAATGATCTAAACTCTTGAGTTAAAAATGTATTTCTTAAAGAAATTCTCTCTCTCTTTGTTTTTTTTTTTTTGTTGCATTCATTTGCAGCTTATGGTGGTATGATATCCTGATTTATATTTAAGATTTTAATCATTAAATAAATTAATAATTATTTATGTAAATAATTGTTTAATCATTAAATAAATTAATAATTATTTGTGTAAATAATTGAAAAAATAATTAACAATAACTAAAAGTAAAACTTAAAAAATAAAAATAAAAATAAAATATTTGATTACATAACATGAGATATTTATCAAGATATGTTCATTGAATTTTTTTAATTAAAATTAATCTTTTTATCAAATAAAACTATGATACAAATAAATAAACAAATAAGAAAGATTAAATAAAAGAAAACAAATATTATACATATTATAAAATTATCTAAAAATAAATATTTTATATTTTTTTAAAAAAAGTCCATTAATATAAAACAAAAAAAAAAGATAAATCAAAATAATATCCTTAAAAATAAATACATGTAAAATGAATTTGAAAAAAAAACCTCTATTAAAAAAATTTGAAAAAACTTGCGGTCTAAATCATGACGATAAATACATGTAAAATGAATTTGAAAAAATTTGTGGTCTAAATCATGACATTAAGATAAACTGATAGAATATAAATTAAAAATAACTACAAAATAAATATTTAAAAAATAATAATATTGAATGATGAAATCAAAAAGAAAAATAAATAAAAAAATAAATTATCAATTTATATTAACTTTTTAAATTTATAACTTGTATCATTACATTGGAAGCACAATAAATAAATAAAATCACATAGTTCAATCTCTAGCAGATCAAATGATTAAAAATAAAATAAAAAAAATTAATTACATAAAAAATCTAAAATAAACAATTATAATTAAAAGAAAGAGGGTGAAAATTAAAATAAAAACAAATTAAAGGACAAATAAAAATAAAAAGTGTTAAATCTAAAAAATAATATACCATAAATTTCGATTGAATAATAAAATTGAAAACAAATAAAATTTTAATAAAAAAAATCAAGGAAAAAATAAAAATAAAAAAAATAAAAACTGAATTGAAAAAATATATAATTAAAGGACTAAATTAAATAAAAACTCTTATAAAAATGGCCAAAAAAATTAAAACAAAATACTGAAAACAAAAAAAAATATACATTTTTTAAAATATAAAAAAAATAAATAAAAATGATTATTGCAACAAACCACATATAAATTGTCGTCACATACCATATCAAGAAAAAAAGAGAGGATAAGATGCAATTTTTAAAGACACGACAAAATAATAAATTTGGCTACCAATATACATCACATACACTACCAGTTTTTTTAACTAAAAAAATAATTATTAAGCACAAAAAATCCAAAATTCCCTTAATAATTACAGAGTAAACAAAACCAAAGTAAAAGGATGAAAACGCCCCTAGACAAATGTCTTACTTTTTTTCGATCCTAAGTGCAAAAAAGTCATTTTATTGTTTTAAAATAAAAATACAAAAATAACCTTGGTTAACAGTTTTGATTTTTTTTTACTCCAAAGATAAATAAGTCAATGTATTGTTCTGGAAAAAAAAAAAAACACCTTTAACAATCCTTTGATGATCAATAGACCATTCGAAAATAACGAAATTTTTCTTCAAATGACAAAAGCGTAATTTAACTGTCGCAATAAATAGGTTTTTGTATCTATGTGCACATTGATCTTCACAGTATTTTTGCTACGCTCTTTATTGTTTCCTTTTAATATGCTTACACACACATATTACATACTAGTTTGATTCTTAGCGATTTTGAAAAAGAGAATAATATAAAATTATTTCTAAGATTTTATTTAATAAAAATGATTTTCTAATATTATATTAAAGATTTAACTATCAAACGATCTTCATCATTTTATTCTATCTAATTAAAATAATAAAATTAAAAATAATGTATTTTGAGTTAAAATGATTTGTTGAAAGAATGTTTAAGTGTTAATATAGGGAGAGAAATGGGAAGAAATTAAGTTAAAGAGTATTTGCGAGAAAAACAGAGAAAATGTTGTCTTTCCCGATCAGCAGACACTGCAGTTCTTGATGATTGTCTAGCACTGGAGGAGTTGACTCTAACAAGTTGTTCTTGGAACAATGTCCATGCTGTCGGCATTTTTTCATTCAATCTAAAGGAACTGGAAATAAGAAATGGTGGAGCAGATGCACTTGTTAACACAGATGATGTGGATTATTCAAGTTCTTGCAAAATTATTATTGCAGGATGTCTTCTTGAATCATTTTCATTCTAAGGTGAATCCAAAGATCATTACCAAATACTTGGAGCATCCCCAATAAGGATTTAAAGCATCTATTAAAATATTAAGAGAGTGTGGCCATGGAAAGACCTTGCTGATCGTGCTGGTGTGTTTCTAACAGGGCTTTCTAAAGTGTGTTGCCTACAACTTTTCCATACAGCAGTTGAGGTAAAACATGCACTTCTTACAGCTAAATGGTTATCAACACTTGTTCCCCCCTTCTTTTGGTTTTATCGAAGCTGTACTGGAGCATTTTATATTGTTCTAGGCCCTCGTCTATGCAAAGGAACTCTTCGCTAGGCTGCCTGTTCTCTGTAATTTGTCAGGTCTCACATTCTCCCATTAACCGTCGGAGTTTCATTGCAGAGGATTGCAGAAAATACTCCATCATGCAGCTTGCGTCAGAAGGCATTGAATTTTCAGGAGTAACTATGTCAGGCGACTACTTTTCTAGGTATTCTTATGAATTGTATACCATTGCTACGAGAGCTAAATAGTGTCCTGTGATTGACATGCGGGGGTTTTCCCCGGAGACACTTGATGTGCGAAGTGAATCGATGTTTGATCCTAAATGTTTATCAACACTTAGATGGTGCACAATCTGTGATTTTTCTAGGCTTCAGAGTGAGGTAAATGCTGTTGAGATGTTACTGTAAAGCGCGACAGTCTTGAAGAATCTTCTCATTGCCTTGCCCTCTGGTGATGGCAACGGGGATCTACAGGACTTGAAGGGAGCTAATGTATTGAATCAACAGGAGAATATTTTCTGTAGTTGAGCCATAAGGTTCAAAGCATAAATCTTTTGCTTAAAGAAGTCGAAGAAACCTTCGAGTTGCCTCCTTGTTTGTATCCCTGTGAACCACTGACTATGTTGAGTATAGATATGAAATCTGATCCCAGGCTTCCTTCTCATATATTTCTTTCGAGTCTCAAAACATTGAAACTTTGGAATGCTGTTTCTCTTGAAATTTACTCCACACAGCGGCTTCTCTTGTTGTCCGATTACAGAGGAGCAGATCACAGCAGATGGGAGAATGTGCAGGCTATTTGCATTGATGCTCCCATGCCAAGAGAACTGAAAATAATAGATGAGATGGACAGTGATGATAATGGTGATTCTAATTATGAAAATGATACAAACGATAGTCAGAATGATGCTAGTTTTTGTCAATTTGATCCTTTTCTTTTGCACTACAAAATTATACTCTGATCATCCAAAAGCAATCACTACCTGTACTTTCCAATGAATGAAATGAAAATATACTGATCATCCAAAAAAAAAAAATCATATTGCACCCAAGTTGAAGTGTCATCAGAATGGTTAGGGTACAAGAATCAGTTCTCCAGTAAATGGAACTTGATTTCCAAAAGTTGAAACATGTGCAGTAGAAACAATTCAAGTGCGTTCTACAACCAAGTGACTAACAATCATATTCCCTCATGTTATTAGAAGTTCAACTTTGGACAACTGGGAAAGTTGTGTGCAATCAATATGACCAGAAAATGCTCAATCGAAATCGATATTGCCGATCTCTGACCATCTAGGGAGGGCACGTAGCTGTTGAAGAATCTTGTTCGTCTTGTCTACACCGTTATCCCTATGCGCAGAACCAGAATAAATTATATCCATAGATTCTAAAGCTGTAGCATTCTTTAAAAGAAAGCCAACTGCTTCCAGCTCCTTTTCATCACAACGAAATCTTCCGACTTGAATGAATTTGAGACATGACAGGAAACAAGGTGGCGATGGGTCCAATGTCCAATCTTCTCGACAAATTTGAAGGAACCTTAGGCATGCTGACCTACACATTCATCGTGATTCAATAACTGATTGAAGTCACAAATATGGAACTTGACAGCGAGAAGTGGAAAGTTGTAAAGTGCAGAGAGTTACCCCATAAAACTGAAGAGCTATAAGATGAGGAGAGGATGATGTGCCAAAATCCATCACTGTGAAGATTTGACTTCTCTGATTCATACATTAAAGAGGTCAAGTTCCTAAATTCAAGCGGGAAAGCAAGCAGCTCAGGCACGTCATCCAGAACATGCGAATAAAGAAAAAACTGCATCACACCTGTGAGGCCCGTAGATCACTTAGGAGCTTAAGGGAAAAGGGGAAGCAAACACACATCAACAACATCAGTTGTTAGACATAAGGATTGAGCACTAGAAATTCCTTCAAGGAGCTTAGAGGCACGGTAGGCAGTTTGCCTAGGTTTGTCAGCAGCGGAAGAAATGGAAATGCATGTCTCGACCACAGAAGATTCATATAAGCAATAGTCATTTGAGAGTGTGCCGATGATAGTAAAATGGGTGAGATCAGTTCGAAAAATCCTGACATGACAACCGCCTAAAGAAGCCGGACTGCTCGGACAAGGTTCATGGATGTCCAAGCTCTGAAGTTTGGAAGCAGAAATGCTGACAGCCACGAGATTCATCCAATTGCACTCATGTATTTCCAACTCCACGACGTTTGGGACTGAATAGTTGCTGGGTTGAGTGGTCATCAGTAAAGGTAACCTCATAGAGGTTCAATATCTTCAAACACGAGAGGGATATTGAAGAAGGAAGCTTGAGAATATATGGCATATTTATTTCCAACTCTGTCAATGTTTCGCAGTTAAATAAGCAATGAGGCAAAACAAACGATGCTTCGAAATCACGAAGTTCGAGATATAAATCCTTGACGTTACGATTTACAGCGGCAGAAATCCATTTACCAACCCGAGATGGATCGTCATTGACTTTACATGAGAGATAGAATTTTTCAATATTAGAAGGGCCACGAAGAGCAAGAACCCTGTCCACCAAAAAACGTGAGGTTGGGCGTGGATTTCCACAGATGTAGCCACTTCCTTGATAATATGCTGGTTCTAACAGCACCTGCTGTCGAGAGGAACGACAGGATATGTTCAAGAAGAGCATCAGGTAAATTGCCAAAGCTTTTTTCACCAGAATCGGTTTCCTCTTCTGCCTTCAACTTCTTTCTTTTGGTTTTGCGAGTCAAAGATTTGGCCTTCATAGTTTAGACTGCGCCTCATGCATGAAATGAACCGTCAGGTAGATCATCAGGACTCATTACATTCCAAAATCAACTTCACTACGACACAGTAACATGAATATATTAACTATAACACAGGAACATGAATATATTCGATTTTTTTGCACATTTAACGCTAAAAGAATGGAGATTAGATGAAATTAAACCAGCAGCCTAGGCAAGATAAAAACAGATTTGACCACAGTTATGTGATATCTTGCAACAAATTCACCCTCTCTTAATCTTGTTAAATAATTTATTCATCTTTCACCATGAAAAACAACAATCTATCAACGAACTATTTATATTATTTTATATTTAATTTTATTTGAAAAAATAACGTAGTGGTTCAGACTTCAACGAATAATTTTATATTACTCTTTAATATAAATAATTTATCAAAAGAAGAGAATGTAATAAAAATCCAAATAAACAAACTCATAAAACATGCAAAATATGCTTTTCTCATGTTAATATAAAATGCCTTGAAAGGTAGGTTATGGGATGTATTGAATGGCCAAACCATGTAAGGAGAAGATAATTAAAAAAAAAAAACTAACGATAGAGAAGTTGAAGGATTTGCAGTCGAGATGAAGAAATACCAAGGAGTAGAAACAGAAGCCTTTATAAGACTTGGAGGTGGTAGCTAGGGCAGGACATAAGAAGTTACCTTTATATGGCTACTAAACTGAAGTGAGAAAAAGAAGGAAAATAAAGGGAATTAAATTTCTTGTTTGGTTTATGGAAAGTGAGGGTTTTTTTTATTTAGATATATTGATGAGAAAAACAAAACAAAATAAAATAAAATAAAAAAGATTTTTTAGAGGATTTTATGAGCAATATTCAATCAATTGTTTTTTTAATTTCTTTCTAATTTTGTGTAAAGATTTTATATATTGAGAAAAATAAAGTTAAAGGTATTTTTATTTTTTATTTTCTATTTCCCTTTAATTTCCTTTATTTTATGTCCCAATTTTAGCATCCAAATAAAGGAAACGATTGAATTAGAAAGAAATTAAATTTAAAAACAGAAAAAAGAATGATCAATGGGTAATTGACTGAGAATTGGAAAGGGTTATTTTCTTGGTCTGCGGTTGAGATTTCATTGCCTTGTTTCTTACCAGGAGTCGCTGGTGGATGGAAACGACAGCGTTCCTGGTTTTCCGCGGGAAACGAAGAGCACAGTGACTAAGCGACATCGTATCCAAGCAAAATCAATTTTATCTCCATTTGGCACTCCAGAATCAACCAATCGATGATACGAACTAAGCGACATGGTAATTTTCTTGGTCCGCGGTTTGAGATCAATTGCCTTGTTTCTTTCGAGGAGTCGCTGGTGGATGGAAACGACAGCGTTCCTAGTTTTCCTGAAACCAAGAGGCCAGAGACTAAACGACATCGTTCGATTTATGTGATTAATTTAAACAGATTTTATCAAGACATTGTTTGTTTGTTCATCTTGTTAAAAGATGGTTGTTGTCAAACACGGTCTAATCCAGCGAGTCAATCTCAAACTAGATTTAAAAGTAAATAAGACATGGAAATAACCCTAAATATTGGGAATAGAAATACTGAATATGGATTTCAAATTAATATATGATTCAATTTTAGACTTAATTAACTTAAATTTGTTCTGAAACTATAATACAATTATCAAATTAGAAGATAATGGATTGAAATATCAAACACAATAAAATATCAAGTACAATCCTAAATTCTTAGCCATTTTTATTTTATTATTTTTAGCTTTCAATTATATATAAAATATGAATAACTTGCTATAACAATTATGAATGTAATTTGTTTTTAACAAAACAATGGTTCAGTTAAAAACATGCTTTGACTAAGATAAATAAAATATACATTAATAAAAAAATAATTTTAAACTTGAAAAACATATGTTTTGTACTTATTTTAAATGACTCACATTCTTAACCAAAAAAATATTGTTTTATAATTAAATAAAAAAAATTAAAGAGCTACACGTGAGATGAGATAAGATATCTTACTATACAACTTTATCTTAACTTTTTAATATATATCTTTATTTCAACTTTCTGGTTCAATCTTTAATTTAAATCATATCAATTTTTAGATTTTATTCTGGCTTTAAATCAACTTATTATTATTTATTAACACAAATAACTCCATTGATTTTATTGAACACACATATCAAATTTTATTTTGCAATAAAAGATTTTCTCAATGAAACAAAAAAATTTAAAAGACTATATTTTTAGATTTAATAATAATATCACCTGAACTTTTTTTTAAAAAAAAAACATATGTTTTGTACTTATTTTAAATGACTTACATTCTTAATCAAAAAATTATATTTTTATAATTACATAAAAAAATTTAAAGAGCTACCCGAGATAAGATATCTTAATATACATCTTTATCTTAACTTTTTAATATACATCTTTATCTCAACTTTCTAGTTCAATCTTTAATTTAAATCATATCAATTTTCGGACTCTATTCTTGCTTTAAATCAACTTATTATTATTTATTAACACAAATAACTCCATTGATTTTATTGAACACACATATCAAATTTTATTTTGCAATAAAAGATTTTCTCAATGAAACAAAAAAATTTAAAAGACTATATTTTTAGATTTAATAATAATATCACCTGAACTTCTTTTTTGTTTTTTGAAATTTTCAAGAAAAATTTAATCCCAACGGAGAAGAAGCATGCAAACTAGTATGACACTAAGGCATCGTATACAGCATAATTTTAGGAACACTATTAATTACCATAAGAGGTGGTTTATTGGCAAAACTTTAAGTTAAACAATCTATATAATATATCAATTGAGAAATCTTTAAAATTGTAGGAATAAACTTCTCTTCTTATAGTTCAAAAGGATTAAAGGAAGTATAATCCAAAATAAATAGTCAAACGAAATTTAATCTGCCAATTTCTGACCATCCTGGGAGCTCGAATAGCTGCTCGCGAATCTTCCTCTGAGCCTCTGACCCGCTGGTCCAGCAAGTAATAACCATATCATCCAAAGCTATTGCATTCTTCAGCAAGAAGGCAACTGCATGCAGCTCATAAATAAAACCTCCGAAAACACGTATCTCAATGCATTTCAGACATGACTGGAAGCAAGGTGGCACTGGCTCCAATATCCAGTCATCCTTTGCACAATTTGTAGGCAACTCCTCACTTAGCTCGATCTGCACATTCACCAGAATCATGCGAACCCATTAGATTTGTAAACATGAAAGCTTGATGATAAGTTAAGTTGGAAATCAAAGAGTCCAAGATGTTACACTAGAGAAACTAAGAGCTTTAAGATGAGGAGAGCTGTAGAGAATGTGCCAAATGGTATCACAGTGAAGATCAGGACAATCAGAAATCGACTCAGATAATCGTAACGAGGTCAGATTCATGACTGTAGGTGTACGGGCAAAGAGCTCGGGCGCGCAATCTAGAACCTAGATAAAAAAAACACAAACAAAATTTTTAAAATTTAACGCACTTCATTGAAGGAGCATCTATTAGCAATGTCGTAATGGTCTTCTGGATTAAGAACAGTTAAAAAATAATATAAATTATATTTTAATACCTTATCTAATAAATTTAGCTTTTTAGTTGAATTGGTTAAAAACACATGGGAGAATTAAAGGCTAAGAATGCTCATGCTACTATTAATTTCCTACAAAAATATTGCACCACAAATAAAATCAAGAGGCTTTTTATGAACATTTCAAGCAACTGGATTGAGAAAATAAAAGTTGAAAGAAAAGAAAGAGAAAGAGCTAGGGAGTGACAGATACAAATAAGAATATTATCCATTGACCAGATAGAAGCTGATGCAAAACGGAGAAGCAAAAATACCTCTAAAACATCAGGTGTCAGCGTTAAATGTTTTACAGTAGAGAGCCCTACAATATGCTTATAAGCACGGTGGGCAATTTCCCTTGACCTCTCATAACATCCATAAACATCAAAACATGCCTCAACCAGTGATGATGATTTAAATAAGCAATAGTCATCCCAAAATCTACCACTGAAAGAAAAAAAGGTTAAAGCAGTTCCAAAAATCATGACATGACAAGCATCTGAACCTCTCAAATCGTTCCTATGCATTTCACAAATGTCCAAGCTCCGAAGTTTGGGAGCAGAAACGGTAATGGCCTTAAGATTCTTCCAGTCGCAGTAACGGATCTTCAACTTCTCGAGGGTTCGGAGATTCAATATTTGTTGGGTTGAGTCCTCATCGGGAAAGACAACGTGTTGAAGGCTCAATATCTTTAGACACGGGAGAGAGATTGAAGAAGGAAGCCTGAGAACACCATGTGAAGTAATTTTCAACTTGGTTAATGTTGCACAAGTAAATAAGCATAGGGGGAAAACGAACGATTCTGATTCTTCCCCCTCGTAAAAGATGACACATAACTCTTTAACATTACGATTTACTGCAGCAGAAACCCAAGTTCGAGTTCGAGTCGCATCATCAATTCCACATGAAAGAGTGAATTTTTCTATATTAGAGGAGTCCCGTAGAAGAGTATTTACAATATAACGTACCCTTCTCTTTTATTTTTTTAAATTCTTTAATTCATTATTTTTAAAATAGTAATTAATCTTGTTAAATATTTTTTCTAATTTTAAAATGTTTCAAAGAGATTATTGTAATTTGTTTTAAAATTAAATTTTCTTATATATCTGCGTATATAAATTTCATTTGCAACATGTATTTATAAACATAAAATTTGTTTATTACTAGTAATCAGAATTAACCTTTAATATATATATATATATATATATATATATTAAAAAAAACAACAGTCGAAGTTAAATATTTATATTTGCATGTATCCTTTTCTTTTACTACAAATATTAGCTTTTACTTTAATATTCAATCATATTTAATTTATTTTGTTAAGGATAAACAATATCTTTTTATTTCTCAAATTATGATATCAAAAAATACATCAATACCTGAAAATTATTATAAATTAATTTAAAATACAACCCCCAACACAGCGCGAGGCATGTACATCCAAAGAAAAGCTAATTTGCCTATGTGATTTATTGTTTCTTCTACCTAGAACTCACCGTTTTCATCACTTGATATATTTTTTTTCATTTTCATTTTTTTTTCAATTAAATCTTCTCATATTTAGCTGCCTAGAATCTTAGATTAATAGTTTGATTATGGGGTTTTCATTTTGAAAAAAATTAATTTTGGATTGACACTTGATTTTACAAAAAAATATTTTCATTTTTTTTAGTTTCTAAACTATTAGACCTAAAAGGACTACAATTAAAGACTACTGGGAAATCCATTCCTTTTTAGTCTAGTAAAAGAAATTTCATGCTCGAAAATGAGGGAAAGGGAGAGAAGTAAAAGGAATAAAAGAAAAAAAAGAAAAAAAAAAGAAAAATAATCACTAAAGCCACAAGGAGCATTCATATTAGCTACACGTCACCTTGAAAGAATAATGATGACATGATGATTCCAACTCCATCGGAGAAGGTCATCTCTGGAGGCTGTTTGAGGCCTCATGCACCGCCCAAAACGAGGCGGCATCTTCCACTTGCTGGTGCGTAGTTTGCATGTGTCAGCCTTTTCTCTTCCCTTCTAATCACTTTGGTCCCTAAACCTATAACAACTTCTCAATTGTGTTTTGATTTTCAATTCACCCAGACCCGAGCCTTCTTTTTTTTTTTTTAATCTTGATAAATATTTTAAAAAAGTTTAATTAAAGGCCTTTTTTTAACTTTTTTTTACAATATAACGTATCCTTCTCTTTTATTTTTTTAAATTGTTTAATTCATTATTTTTAAAATAGTAATTAATCTTGTTAATTATTTTTCAATTTTAAAATGTTTCAAAGAGAATATTGTAATTTCTTTTTAAATTTTTGTTATATATTTTGCATATATAAATTTCATTTGCAAGATGTTTTTATAAACATAAAATTTGTTTATTAAAAGGATTAAATTAATTTTAAAATTAAATGTTAAAATTAGTTTCTAAACTATTAGACCTAAAAGGACTACAATTAAAGACTACTGGGAAATCCATTCCTTTTTAGTCTAGTAAAAGAAATTTCATGCTCGAAAATGAGGGAAAGGGAGAGAAGTAAAAGGAATAAAAGAAAAAAAAGAAAAAAAAAAGAAAAATAATCACTAAAGCCACAAGGAGCATTCATATTAGATACACGTCACCTTGAAAGAATAATGATGACATGATGATTCCAACCCCATCGGAGAAGGTCATCTTTGGAGGCTGTTTGAGGCCTCATGCACCGCCCAAAATGAGGCGACATCTTCCACTCGCTGGTGCGTAGTTTGCATGTGTCAGCCTTTTCTCTTCCTTTCTAATCACTTTGGTCCCTAAACCTATAACAACTTCTCAATTGAGTTTGATTTTCAATTTAGTCCCCATTTCAATAAGACCTCTTCAATTTAACCTTGAACTTCATCCAAACAGGGTCTAATAAAGGCCCAATATGGGGAGGGAAGGAGAAAAAAGAAAAAAAAAAAAGAAAATTAACTTATCAAGTTAGCGTGTTATAATCATGTCCATGTCTTGGGTTATTGGAATACTTAAAATAGTTCCTCTAATTTAAAAAAAAAACTAATTAATTAGTTATTGAATGCCTTAAAAAATATTGTTTATAGTATTGAAGCCATAACTGTTAAATAATTACAATATATGAAAAAGATAAATTAAAAAAATGAAAGATAAACAAGAAATAAAATTTTAAAAATATTTTTTAAAATAAATGAGAAAATTTTTATCATTTTTTACTTGGATAGAATGTAAATTTTCACAAATATATATTATCGAAATAGAAGGTGAAAATTATATTATTGATACAAAATTACCTTCATTAAAAACTCTCTGAACTGATATTAGTAATGTTAAAACGAAAAAGGATCAAAGTGAAACATTACAGAATTTATAGGGACAATAATATACAATAGCCAACTAATAAATCCATCCTTTCCTCACTCGCAAACCCCATCCAGCTCTCCCTCTTGACAAATTTTAATGATCCACGCAAGCTCAACAGAATGTGGAGAAACAAGTGAAGGAAAGGAGCTTGGATTGAATTGGTATTTGATTTCTTTCTTTCTCGTTTAATTTATAATTTTCTCTCGTTTTTTTTTTTTTTTAACTTTTCCATTTGATTCAAAACCCATTTTGTGGCTTTTGCATTGAAATTTGAAGTAAGAGACTAATATTTGATAATTGATTTGATTGCAATTGATAGATTGGATTGGATTAGGATATTTCATTTTGTTTGAACAAATTAGAATCAATTATTTTGGAGGAATAAGGAGAGCAAAAGGAAGGAAAGAATGAATTTTCAGATGATGAGAGTGCAAAGCCTCTCTGAAGGGGGCATAGCGGAGGTGCCAGCCCAATATATCCAGCCCCCTGAGGAACGACCGCCCATTAGTGATGACCTCACAGTAATAGATAACAGTGATGAAGACAATGTCCCCATGATTGATGTTTTTGGGTTCGACTCGGAGCAGAGGGATACTGTTTGCAAACTAATTGGTGATGCCTGCGCCAAATGGGGTGCCTTCCACATTACCAACCATGGAGTTCCATTTGAGTTGCTGGACCAGATTAGGGGCGTAGGGTTATCTTTCTTCAAAGACTGCCCCATCGAAGATAAGCTCAAATATGCTTGTGATCCCAATTCTCCTGCTTCTCAGGGGTATGGCTCTAAGATGCTGCGCCCAGAAGATGAAGCTGAAAGCTCAACTGTTTTGGACTGGAGGGACTACTTCGATCACCATACACTACCACTCTCTCGCCGTGACCCTTCTCACTGGCCTCACTTCCCTTCCAATTACAGGCAAGTTGTGGCACATTATAGTGATGAGCTCAAATTGGTTGCACAGGAGCTGTTGGGGCTTATATCAGAGTCTCTGGGACTGCCAACTTCTTGCATTGAGGATGCTGTCGAGGAATTTTATCAAAACATTACTATAAGCTACTACCCTGCTTGTCCTCAACCGCATCTTACACTGGGTCTTCAGTCCCATTCTGATATGGGTGCCATCACACTTCTCATCCAAGACCATGTCGGGGGCCTTCAGATTTTCAAAGACTCTCGGTGGATCACTGTCCATCCTCAATCTCATGCTATTCTTGTTATATTGGCTGACCAAATGGAGGTAATTGAACTATTGCTGATGTTTTCATTTTCCGCTATTGACATGCTTTTTTCGTTCTCTTGTTGGCTTAACTGCAGTTTTTTCTTAATTTTTTCCCCTTGTTTTCTAACTAACTTGGACAGGAAGGCAATGAACTGTGTTTATGTATCTGATTGAATTGAAGCTTTTGCTTAACAATGCTAGATAGTAAAACAAAATCAAGAGGGAAAAAGGATGCGTTTTGATTCTCATGTGCTCGTGTCTCATGCAAGTTAACATTTTGCGAGCTTTTCGCAATCATGTGGGTTCGTTGTGAAATCTTGAACCTATCCTTGTGGAGTCTCTATTAACATGCTGCCACATTCTTAGCCCGCAACAAATGGTCAAAACCAATGGTTCCTGTATAAACTACCTTCTATTTCACAAGAAAAATTTTCCATTATAGCTCTTTCCTATGTAATGGTTGGATTTTGAAAGGCCAAAGTGACGGGTATTTTCCATTTAAGCTCGTATCAGTTTACCTACTACAAAATCTTATATCCATTAATGTGCCACCCATGTGTTTCGTCATTTTGTTGCTTTAGTTGAAATACACTTTGATCAACAGTTTAATGGGAAACACTTTGCCTGTAGATTATAACCAATGGGAAGTATAGGAGTGCTCAACATCGAGCCATTACAAATTCCGGCAGTCCCCGGCTCTCAGTTGCCACCTTTCATGACCCAGCCAAGACGGTGAAAATATCCCCTGCTTTTGAGCTAACTAGCAACTCATCCCCCCCTAGGTACCGTGAAGTCAAGTATGGAGATTATGTGTCATCATGGTATACCAAAGGCCCAAAGGGGAAACGGAACATTGATGCCCTCCTCATCAATTGTTAGATCTTCCCCGTTTTCATGTTGACCTTTTCTGTTCTCTTGCTTTGAGAGGAAAAGGAATTTATTGTTTAAAGGATAAGCATATGCCTTTACATTTAATCTTTCAGGAATTTGTGTTTCATTGTTATAGTGTTCCTCCATGGATGTCTTTGATGGTGTTTCTCCTTTAAATATTTTTTGAGATTGGACAGTTTTTTTTTATTGTTTTTCCAGCTGCTCTGTTCCTCCGAAGGTTGTCTTTCCTTGCCATGATGGCTTTGCATAGAATATTTTGTGGCATATTGTAATATTTTGATCCCATAAGCTATTCCCAGAATCTTACCTGTACTAAGAATGGCACCCATATTTGTTAATATAGAAGGTTGGAAATCTAAGAATTTGGGTGAGCTCAATTTGACAAAAATCTTGTTTATCTATTAGAGCCATGCAAGATTTAAGGGATCTTTGGGCTTCTGAGACAGGCAACATTTGGTTGCTCATAAAATCTGACATCTTCAAAATACCCATAATATGTCTGAGCTTCGGTATTATATCATCTTTAAGGTAAAAATTTGCCTAGATGCATATACCACCAACCCCTATTTGACTCTGAAACACACTACCACCAAGTACAAATAAACTTTTTCGGAGATTCCTTGATCCGCCCTATGAAGTTTTATCTTTAAGGTAGAAAAAATATTTTTTAAATTAACTAATTTAAATTAAAAAAAAATAGCATTGAATAACTTTTAATTCAATTGTTAGATTGAATTAAAAGTTTATTTGAATTTTTTTATATTTAGCTTAGAACTTAATTTACTTAGTAATTAATATTTTATTATTTAACTATTAGTTAAATAGTTTTATTTAAAACCCTTTTCTTATGAAACACTTAAAATTTACATTCATTTACATTCATGTTATACGCAACTCATATATTATGTTAATTAATTCTATTTTTTTTATATTTTAAAAATAAAATAAATTTTTTTTTTTCATATATTATGTTAATTAATTCTATTTTTATATATATTTTAAAAATATTTTAAAAATAAAATAAATTTTTTTTTTTATATTTTCCTTTGCTTCAATCAGATATTTTTAATATTTTTTAATATTTTTAAATCATTTGATATAAAAAATAATTTTTAAAAAATAAAAAAAATATATTATTTTAATACATTTCTAGATAAATAGGCAATAAGTAAGACAACTAACCATGTTGTGCTATTTTTTTTTTTTAACTATGCTAATTTACAAATTGTTTTAGCATTTGTGATATTTAAAATAAATAAATAAATAACTCTGAAATGTTATTTTGGAAGGCTACTATTGAACAAAACGCATTCCGTGGAAAATATAATATATTCGTGCACAGGCAAAGTTCAATAAAAAAAAAAATTGATCTATAAATGCCTGCAAGTCGAAAGCTTATAGCATTAATCCAGTGACAGTTTTAAATAATAATCCCGATTCCCATGATCTTGTTCTTCCCTTCACATTTTGCATGGGTTCAAAATAAAAATGTATGCTCACAACACAATTCACGTTGGTATGAAACCCTTAAATGCACTAAAAGAATTTAGGACCAAGATTTGTAAAGTAGCATGCAGGTAGTAAGCACCTCTTGGATTAGCAAGTACACTAGAGTTGACAAAATAATACACTGAACACAGTGGTTATATATACGAAACATGAAATATTTGCACATCTTCACCGGGAAAAAAAATACAACTAATGATATATGAACATACCATCGGAGATGTAGAATCAGATAATGTTACAACAACGTTATAGTTCTGCAAGAATGGCTGGGATGTAATGAGATAACTCTGCCGTGAGCGATTGAAATCCGTTCACAAGCTGCGTGTGGAAATCTTGATCTTCCTCTCCAATCAATCTAAAATGTACACGAATGGCTCGCTTGCAAACAGCCATGAATTCAAGTAAGGCAGCAATGAGTTGCTGCAGTTCTTGAGAACGCAACCTTGTAGCAGGCTCACCCGACAGGAAGGCCGTGCAGACACTCAAAACTCCACTGTTTACCTGTAACAAAGCAAATTGCCATAAGAAAAGTGATCTTTGCTTGGCCATGGTGATGAACGGTTGGAGAACATGATAAAAAGAACATTTTTATATCGATCTTAATTGAAAATATGGAGGAACTTCATCAAAAAACCCAACAAGCAACTCACTTGAACAGCAACACTGCCTTGGAGAATTCTCTGCAAACTTTGGAGACGTGGAAGCTGATCGCCTTCAGAGCTGCGGGGCTCCTCAAGCTCGTTTCGTA